CACTATAGTAGGGACGGTGTTGTAGAAAGACACCAGACGCACGACTATAGTAGGGACGTGTTGAACACAGAAACCAGACATACCACTTTAGTAGGGACGGTGTTGTATACACCCACCAGACGTACCAGTATAGTAGGGACGGTGTTGTACAAAGACACCATACGCACGACTATTGTAGGGACGGTTTTGTACACAGCCACCAGATGTACCACTATAGTAGGGACGGTGTTGTACACACCCAACAGACGTACCACTATAGTAGGGACGGTGTTGTACACTCCCACTAGACGTACCACTATATTAGCGACGGTGTTGTACACACCCACCAGACGCACTACTATAGTAGCGACGGTGTTGTACACACCCACCAGAAGTACCACTATAGAAGGGACGGTGTTGTACACACCCACTAGGCGTACCACTATAGTAGCGACGGTGTTGTACACACCCACCAGACGCACGACTATAGTAGGGACGGTGTTGTACACACCCACCAGACGTACCACTATAGTAGGGACGGTGTTGTACACACCCACTAGACGCACCACTATAGTAGCGACGGTGTTGGACACACCCACCAGACGCACCACTATAGTAGCGACGGTGTTGTACACATCCACCAGACGCACCACTATAGTAGGGACGGTGTTGTACACACCCACCAGACGCACCACTATAGTAGGGACGGTGTTGTACTCAGGCCGCAGACGTACCACTATAGTAGCGACGGTGTTGTACTCAGGCCGCAGACGTACCACTATAGTAGCGACGGTGTTGTACACACCCACCAGACGTACCACTATAGTAGGGACGGTGTTGTACACACCCACCTGACGTACCACTATAGTAGGGACGGTGTTGTACAAAGACACCAGACGTACGACTATAGTAGGGACGGTGTTGTACACACCCACCTGACGTACCACTATAGTAGGGACGGTGTTGTACACAAGCACGAGACGCACCACTATAGTAGGGACGGTGTTGGACACAGACACCAGACGTACCACTTTAGTAGGGACGGTGTTGTTCACAGGCACCAGACGTACCACTATAGTAGGGACGGTGTTGTACACAGACACCAGACGTACCACTATAGTAGGGACGGTGTTGTACAAAGACACCAGACGCACGATTATAGTAGGGGCGGTGTTGTACACAGACACGAGACATACCACTATAGTAGGGACGGTGTTGTACACATCCACCAGACGTTCCACTATAGTAGGGACGGTGTTGTACAAAGACACCAGACGCACGATTATAGTAGGGGCGGTGTTGTACACAGACACGAGACATACCACTATAGTAGGGACGGTGTTGTACACATCCACCAGACGTTCCACTATAGTAGGGACGGTGTTGTACAAAGACACCAGACGCACGACTATAGTAGGGACGGTTTTGTACACAGACACCAGACATACCACTATAGTAGCGACGGTTTTGGACACACCCACCAGACGCACCACTATAGTAGCGACGGTGTTGTACACACCCACCAGGCGCACCACTATAGAAGGGACGGTGTTGTACACATCCACCAGACGTACCACTACACACCCACCAGAAGCACCACTATAGTAGCGACGGTGTTGTACACTGGCGGCAGACGTACCACTATAGTAGGGACGGTATTGGACACACCCACCTGACGTACCACTATATTAGGGACGGTGTTGTACACACCTACCTGATGTACCACTATAGTAGGGACGGTGTTGTACAAAGACACCAGACGTACGACTATAGTAGGGACGGTGTTGTACACACCCACCAGACGTACCACTATAGTAGGAACGGTGTTGTACACAGACACCAGACGTACCACTATAGTAGGGACGGTGTTGTACAAAGACACCAGACGTACCACTATACTAGGGACGGTGTTGTACACAGAAACCAGACATACCACTATAGTAGGGACGGTGTTGTACACACCCACCAGACGTACCACTATAGTAGGGACGGTGTTGTACACACCGAGCAGACGCACCACTATAGTAGGGACGATGTTGTACACAGACACCAGACATACCACTATAGTAGGGACGGTGTTGTACACACCCACCAGACGTACCACTATAGTAGGGACGGTGTTGCATACAGGCACCAGACGTACCACTATAGTAGGGACGGTGTTGTACACACCCACCAGACGTACCACTATAGTAGCGACGGTGTTGTACACTGACACCAGACGTACTACTATAGTAGCGACCGTGTTGTACAGAGACACCTGACGTACCACTATAGTATGGACGGTGTTGTACACAGGCGGAAGACGTACCACTATAGGAGCGAGCGTGTTGTACACAACCGCCAGACGTACCACTATAGTAGGGACGGTGTTGTACACAGGCACATGACGTACCGCTATAGTAGGGACGGTGTTGTACACACCCACCAGACGCACCACTATAGTAGCGACGGTGTTGTACACACCCACCAGACGTACCACTATAGTAGGGACGGTGTTGTACAAAGACACCAGACGCACGACTATAGTAGGGACGGTGTTGTTCACACCCACCAGACGTACCACTATAGTAGCGACGGTGTTGTACACACCCACCAGACGTACCACTATAGTAGGGACGGTGTTGTACAAAGACACCAGACGCACCACTATAGTAGGGACGGTGTTGTACACAGACACCAGACGTACCACTATAGTAGGGACGGTGTTGTACAAAGACACCAGACGCACGATTATAGTAGGGGCGGTGTTGTACACAGACACGAGACATACCACTATAGTAGGGACGGTGTTGTACACATCCACCAGACGTTCCACTATAGTAGGGACGGTGTTGTACAAAGACACCAGACGCACGACTATAGTAGGGACGGTTTTGTACACAGACACCAGACATACCACTATAGTAGCGACGGTTTTGGACACACCCACCAGACGCACCACTATAGTAGCGACGGTGTTGTACACACCCACCAGGCGCACCACTATAGAAGGGACGGTGTTGTACACATCCACCAGACGTACCACTACACACCCACCAGAAGCACCACTATAGTAGCGACGGTGTTGTACACTGGCGGCAGACGTACCACTATAGTAGGGACGGTGTTGTACACACCCACCTGACGTACCACTATATTAGGGACGGTGTTGTACACACCTACCTGATGTACCACTATAGTAGGGACGGTGTTGTACAAAGACACAAGACGTACGACTATAGTAGGGACGGTGTTGTACACACCCACCAGACGTACCACTATAGTAGGAACGGTGTTGTACACAGACACCAGACGTACCACTATAGTAGGGACGGTGTTGTACAAAGACACCAGACGTACCACTATACTAGGGACGGTGTTGTACACAGAAACCAGACATACCACTATAGTAGGGACGGTGTTGGACACACCCACCAGACGTACCACTATAGTAGGGACGGTGTTGTACAAAGACACCAGACGCACCACTATAGTAGGGACGATGTTGTACACAGAAACCAGACATACCACTATAGTAGGGACGGTGTTGTACACACCCACCAGACGTACCACTATAGTAGGGACGGTGTTGCACACAGGCACCAGACGTACCACTATAGTAGGGACGGTGTTGTACACACCCACCAGACGTACCACTATAGTAGCGACGGTGTTGTACACTGACACCAGACGTACTACTATAGTAGCGACCGTGTTGTACAGAGACACCTGACGTACCACTATAGTATGGACGGTGTTGTACACAGGCGGAAGACGTACCACTATAGTAGCGACGGTGTTGTACACACCCACCAGACGTACCACTATAGTAGGGACGGTGTTGTACAAAGACACCAGACGCACGACTATAGTAGGGACGGTTTTGTACACAGACACCAGACATACCACTATAGTAGCGACGGTTTTGGACACACCCACCAGACGCACCACTATAGTAGCGACGGTGTTGTACACACCCACCAGGCGCACCACTATAGAAGGGACGGTGTTGTACACATCCACCAGACGTACCACTACACACCCACCAGAAGCACCACTATAGTAGCGACGGTGTTGTACACTGGCGGCAGACGTACCACTATAGTAGGGACGGTATTGGACACACCCACCTGACGTACCACTATATTAGGGACGGTGTTGTACACACCTACCTGATGTACCACTATAGTAGGGACGGTGTTGTACAAAGACACCAGACGTACGACTATAGTAGGGACGGTGTTGTACACACCCACCAGACGTACCACTATAGTAGGGACGGTGTTGTACAAAGACACCAGACGCACCACTATAGTAGGGACGATGTTGTACACAGACACCAGACGTACCAATATAGTAGGGACGGTGTTGTACACACCCACCAGACGTACCACTATAGAAGGGACGGTGTTGTACACAGACACCAGACGCACCACTATAGAAGGGACGGTGTTGTACACATCCACCAGACGTACTACTATAGTAGCGACGGTGTTGTACACACCCACCAGACGTACTACTATAGTAGCGACGGTGTTGTACACACCCACCTGACGTACCACTATAGTAGGGACGGTGTTGTACACATCCACCAGACGTACTACTATAGTAGGGACGGTGGTGTACACACCCACCTGACGTACTACTATAGAAGGGACGGTGTTGTACACATCCACCAGACGTACTACTATAGTAGGGACGGTGTTGTACACACCCACCAGACGTACCACTATAGTAGGGACGGTGTTGTACAGAGACACCAGACGTACCACTATAGTAGGGACGGTGTTGTACACACCCACCTGACGTACCACTATAGTAGGGACGGTGTTGTACAGAGACACCAGACGTACCACTATAGTAGGGACGGAGTTGTACACACCCACCTGACGTACCACTATAGTAGGGACTGTGTTGTACAGAGACACCAGACGTACCACTATAGTAGGGACGGTGTTGTACACAGACACCTGACGTACCGCTATAGCAGCGATCGTGTTGTACACAGACAGCAGTTCCACCGCTATGGTAGCGACCGTGACCAGTATGTCAGCCACTTGTAGCATATCTCGCCGCCGCTGTCTTCAAGTGCATTTGGTTTGCTGTGTAGAATGACCAGCAGACACGATTGTGATGCTGCAAGAATTCATTTCTGTGGGCAATATTGCCGAACTCAACTAACGGCTGGTGCGTGGCATAAAGGGGCCCAACTGAACAATGGTTGTGTAGCTTGGGACCAACCTTGTCGGAGACGATTACCTGAACGCAGTACCATCCACTGACAATGTAAGCTCCCGCTTTACTAGTATACACAGGCTGTAGTGTGCGCGTAGCGGCGTTCTTCTCGGTCGATACCTTCTCTGTCTGTTTTAAAGATTGCTGGACCCCATACCGCTGTTCTACAGGCTGTTGTAATTGGCTTACCGACTACACATTTCTGTGTAACGTGTGGACACTACACTGGCGACCGCTTGTACGCTGCACGAGGGACGCGCGGAGAGTGACAGGGACATGGTGGGACACCGCGGAGGCTTTTTTGTGAAGCCACGTCAAGCGGTGAGTGACAATTCAGTGTATTTCTACGCTTCCCTGGAATCGGTAACAGATTATTTCGGTAATCCAGGCATGCTATGATTTACATAGCAGTGTTTGCAGTGACAAGTTTCAGAGTTGGCAACTAGGAACCCATCCTGCTGATGTCATTATCCAACTCTACCGAAGATGCCCACGTGCAGGCACATCTGACAACTGTCACGCAGTAGAACACACAGCCTCTGTAGACACTGCTAGCTTTGCCGCGTTTCCTAGATGTAAGACGAAAGCTATAGCGCAATACTGCGTTCTGTATGATCTCCTGTTGTTAAGTGTAATGGTTTTAAGAGGAAGAAATGTCTTCTCTTAGTAAATAGTTTCTTATTTAGTGTGTTGATTAACTGTTCTGTGGCGGAACTTGAGGAGCAATCTTTTCTACTTTTGTACTGTGCGTCAGATGCCTGGCCCGCGAGAGAAAAGACATCGTTTTATGTCAATCTCCGCTCCGTGTGAGACACTTGAACGAGATACTGGCTTTATAAGTGATTTTATGCAATCAAGTTTATGCATCGCTAACACATTACTCTCGGGTGCAGCTGGGATTACAGCCAGCTCGCATGGCTGGTGAGACAACACAACTTTTCTCATATGGCGAATCTATCAAAGGACTCCAAAAGTTGTTTGAATCAATACATCATAATCCATAACAAGCCGTGAGTATTGTAGCTCTAGTCTGCTTCTCAAAGAAGTCCCTGGTTTTCAAGACATCATTTCTTGCCTATTGTTGCAGTGGAGGTCTGGCGTTTTTATAACATTTCCACATTATGAAACACAGTGTCTGAAGCCAGTCCTACGTTGGCGCGGGGAAAGGAGTTAACTGCGTCATATACTGGACTTATGTGACGGACCCTCGGGACACGAGCAGTGGGGAGGAGGTCTCACCAACACACCGGACAACACACGGGTAGTATAACAAGGGGAAGGCAGTGTCGGGGCTGTCAGGAGTCCATGAGAGAGGAGTGCTGGTCAAGGGACAATAGAGAATATATATGTCCGGTGCACAATGGACTGTAACGACAAATACCCGGATGTGACTATTGCAGAGCAGAGGCCACTGACCAACGCCAATAACGTTGGTACCAAAGAGACAGTTGTCACACTTCGACAACCCCGCGACAAAGGGTGCTATATGTCAAGGTTTCAAGTGGGAATACTGTGTTCATTTCTCATTCTTGTGATTGTGATAATTACATTGTTGGTTCTGTTTTTCGGTACCGAGGTGGGGTGTTTCTGTTACGGCATATCCAGGGGACCAGCATCGTCTGCTCAAGGTCAAACACAGAAGACGAACACCCGGCTGTCCAATGTAACCGACAACCTGCCCTTCGGCACAGCCACCAACCTCACTAACCCTGGACATCGGAAGTGCGTGTGTATAAATGGTTCCCATGCGGACAACCATGGTCTTGATTCTACCATTTTCCCCACCCAGACACCTACAGTCACGAACAGTTTACCTCCATGGCGGAAGATCCGTCTCCCCCGGGACCTGGTTCCCTCCTTCTACGAGGTGCAGCTGACAGTGGACCTAACTCACTTCATCTATCGCGGCTCAGTGAACATCAGTGTGCGGGTGGTCAAAGCCACCAGTTTTGTCATGTTCCATAGGAATGCTATAGACATCATAGAACGTACGGTGCAGGTGCTACCCATCGGTGACCAGTACCCTGCCAGGAAGATCAAGCGCCAGTTCTATGACAATGAGTACCAGTTCCATGTGGCAGAGCTGGATGGTGAGCTCCCTGCAGGGTCGGAGTACGTGATCCAAGTGGCCGAATACGACGGTCATATCAGGGACAATTTAACAGGGCTCTACTTCAGCTCCTACAAGACCAAAGAGGGCAGAACCAGGTAGGTCAAACTTACCTTACTTCCTTCTTGAAGGTGTGTGTGTGTGTGTGTGTGTGTGTGTGTGTGTGTGTGTGTGTGTGTGTGTGTGTGTGTGTGTGTGTGTGTGTGAAGCGTTGATCGTTATACCCAACAAGAATAATTGTTTTGTTGACGACAAGACGATGCTCTTTGTAATGGCGCACATGTTGACGTAATGTTGACTTCACTGAACAAAGCAGAACCAAGGCCAAATCAGAGTCAAATGTATCTATTGAGATTATGATTGATTGATACCAAGTAACACGACTGGTAATCATTATTTCACTACATGAATTCAAACAACGCGTTAGTTGTGACAAGGTGCAAGATGATACTGTTTGTCTGCAGGGTGCAAGTGATGGCTACTTCAGGCACAGAATACAGTCGTAAAGGCGAACACCTTCAATGATTATATGTCGGCGATTCTTTGTATCGCAGTTTGTTGATGGACGACTGTGCGTATGTTTATCTTGAAAAGTTTATTTTGGAATATTTCCACTCAGAGGGAAGTTAGCCGTGTTAACGTTATTTGATGCAGCGTGTGTTATGATATATCTGACAGTGCGGCATGAGGTCTACTGATCTAATGGATACATGATAAGATATAAAAAAAAATTAAAAAAACATTGGATAATTTGGATAGCGTTACTTTTTTACTTTACACATCGGGAGATAATATCACGTGTCGTGTCCATGTTAGCCCAACTGCCTGGACATATAAACGTTTATGTAACGGCATGTTCATATAAAGGTGTCTATTACGGTCTGTACAAATAACCTGCCTGGCGCTCGGCATTATAGGTAGGTATACATGTTACGCTGCGTCATGGTATCTCACGCACACAACATGTGAATGCACGTCGCTTTGTAAGTGCGCTTATCTTGAACCAAGCGTTAAACTCAGTTTCATCTCACCTCACCTGTACATATAAACGTTTGTACAACCGCATGTACATATGTACGTTGTACAACCGCATGTACATATGGACGTTGTACAACCGCATGTACATATGGACGTTTGTACAACCGCATGTACTTATGGACGTATGTACAACCGAATGTACATATACACGTTTGTACAACCGCATGTGCATATGGACGTTGTACAACCGCATGTACTTATGGACGTTTGTACAACCGAATGTACTTATGGACGTTTGTACAACCGCATGTACATATTAACGTTTGTACAACCGCATGTACATATAAACGTTTGTACAACGCATGTACATATGGACGTTGTACAACCGCATGTACATATAAACGTTTGTACAACCGCATGTACTTATGGGCGTTTGTACAACCGCTTGTACATATGGACGTTGTACAACCGCATGTACATATGGACGTTGTACAACCGCATGTACTTATGGGCGTTTGTACAACCGCATGTACATATGGACGTTGTACAACCGCATGTACTTATGGACGTTGTACAACCGCATGTACATATAAACGTGTGTACAACCGCATGTACATATAAACGTTGTACAACCGCATGTACTTATGGACGTTGTACAACCGCATGTACTTATGGACGTTGTACAACCGCATGTACGTATGGACGTTTGTACAACCGCATGTACATATAAACGTTTATACAACCGCATGTACTTATGGACGTTGTACAACCGCATGTACATATAAACGTGTGTACAACCGCATGTACATATGGACGTTGTACAACCGCATGTACATATGGACGTTTGTACAACCGCATGTACTTATGGAAGTGTGCACAACATTATGTTATCAGCTCGATATAAAAAGTGGATGAAATATTTTTCATTGAAATGAAGAGGGTTTCTGTCAGAAATGACGCTATAATTTGGGCCACGTGATGCGTACTTTATTATTTCCTTTAACAAAGGATGCTATGGATAAAAGGGACATCTTCACACTCACCATTGCAACATTACCGTTTGATGAAAAGGTAAAATCTTCATACACTTATATATGTCAAACAAAAATCAGTTTGTGCTTTTGTGAGTAGAGAAAATAATGTAAACGACTCGTTTGTTTGCTTATCATTTCATAGCAACATTCCTTGAAACGAACCCCGAATGATCAAAAGGGGGAACAGTCACGCTAGTATACAGTGCACACGCTGTCCAACTACGGCAATTACGATCTTCGTTATGCTCGTACTATAATGCCTTGACAGAACTCCCGCGACCCAACTGAGAAACATGTACGCGCTATAGAGAGAATTTAAGTACTGCAAGCAAAGGTGTCTGAGTGACTTCACTTCGTCGTGAAGAATGTACCATGTAACTACTTGGGGTTGGCAGGTCTACAACCCAAATACTGCTATACTTCATCGCATCCAACTTAAAGCCAACCAGGGCAAACGGGTGGCCAAGTCGTCTCAGGCGCCGCAGTTCGCTGTGCCAAGTTATGTCCTTTGGGCACGCCAGAAAACTATGACCGTCGATTCGAATCCCGGTTTGTCCCGATTACGTTGGCCTTATGTTGTGAAAGCGTGTCGCTGGCCCCATGTCTGACGGTATCCCATGTTGTGAGAGCGTCTTGCTAGTCCCATGTCTGACGGTGTCCCATGTTGTGAGAGCGTCTCGCCAGTCCCATGTCTGACGGTGTCCCATGTTGTGAGAGCGTCTTGCTAGTCCCATGTCTGACGGTGTCCCATGTTGTGAGAGCGTCTTGCTAGTCCCATGTCTGACGGTGTCCCATGTTGTGAGAGCGTCTCGCCAGCCACACGTCTGACGGAGTCCGATGTTGTGAGAGCATCTCGCTGACCCCATGTCTGACGGTGTCCCATGTTGTGAGAGCGTCTTGCCAGTCCCATGTCTGACGGAGTGCCAATGTTGTGAGAGCGTCTCGCCAGTCCCATGTCTGACGGTGTCCCATGTTGTGAGAGCGTCTCGCCAGCCCCATATCTGACGGTGTCCCATGTTGTGAGAGCGTCTTGCTAGTCCCATGTCTGACGGTGTCCCATGTTGTGAGAGCGTCTCGCCAGCCCCATGTCTGACGGAGTCCCATGTTGTGAAAGCGTCTTGCTAGTCCAATGTTGTGAGAGCATCTCGCTGACCCCATGTCTGACGGTGTCCCATGTTGTGAGAGCGTCTCGCCAGTCCCACGTCTGACGGTGTCCCATGTTGTGAGAGCGTCTCGCCAGCCCCATGTCTGACGGTGTCCCATGTTGTGAGAGCGTCTTGCTAGTCCCATGTCTGAAGGTGTCCCATGTTGTGAAAGCGTCTTGCCAGTCCCATGTCTGACGGTGTCCCATGTTGTGAGAGCGTCTTGCTAGTCCAATGTTGTGAGAGCGTCTCGCCAGCCCCATGTCTGATGGAGTGCCATGTTGTGAGAGCGTCTTGCTAGTCCCATGTCTGACGGAGTGCCAATGTTGTGAGAGCGTCTCGCCAGTCCCATGTCTGACGGTGTCCCATGTTGTGAGAGCGTCTCGCCAGCCCCATGTCTGACGGTGTCCCATGTTGTGAGAGCGTCTTGCTAGTCCCATGTCTGACGGTGTCCCATGTTGTAAGAGCGTCTCGCCAGCCCCATGTCTGACGGAGTCCCATGTTGTGAAAGCGTCTTGCTAGTCCAATGTTGTGAGAGCATCTCGCTGACCCCATGTCTGACGGTGTCCCATGTTGTGAGAGCGTCTTGCTAGTCCCATGTCTGACGGTGTCCCATGTTGTGAGAGCGTCTTGCTAGTCCCATGTCTGACGGTGTCCCATGTTGTGAGAGCGTCTCGCCAGTCCCATGTCTGACGGTGTCCCATGTTGTGAGAGCGTCTTGCTAGTCCCATGTCTGACGGTGTCCCATGTTGTGAGAGCGTCTTGCTAGTCCCATGTCTGACGGTGTCCCATGTTGTGAGAGCGTCTCGCCAGCCACACGTCTGACGGAGTCCGATGTTGTGAGAGCATCTCGCTGACCCCATGTCTGACGGTGTCCCATGTTGTGAGAGCGTCTTGCCAGTCCCATGTCTGACGGAGTGCCAATGTTGTGAGAGCGTCTCGCCAGTCCCATGTCTGACGGTGTCCCATGTTGTGAGAGCGTCTCGCCAGCCCCATATCTGACGGTGTCCCATGTTGTGAGAGCGTCTTGCTAGTCCCATGTCTGACGGTGTCCCATGTTGTGAGAGCGTCTCGCCAGCCCCATGTCTGACGGAGTCCCATGTTGTGAAAGCGTCTTGCTAGTCCAATGTTGTGAGAGCATCTCGCTGACCCCATGTCTGACGGTGTCCCATGTTGTGAGAGCGTCTCGCCAGTCCCATGTCTGACGGTGTCCCATGTTGTTAGAGCGTCTCGCCAGCCCCATGTCTGACGGTGTCCCATGTTGTGAGAGCGTCTTGCTAGTCCCATGTCTGAAGGTGTCCCATGTTGTGAAAGCGTCTTGCTAGTCCCATGTCTGACGGTGTCCCATGTTGTGAGAGCGTCTTGCTAGTCCAATGTTGTGAGAGCGTCTCGCCAGTCCCATGTCTGACGGTGTCCCATGTTGTGAGAGCGTCTCGCCAGCCCCATGTCTGACGGTGTCCCATGTTGTGAGAGCGTCTTGCTAGTCCCATGTCTGACGGTGTCCCATGTTGTGAGAGCGTCTCGCCAGCCCCATGTCTGACGGAGTCCCATGTTGTGAAAGCGTCTTGCTAGTCCCATGTCTGACGGTGTCCCATGTTGTGAGAGCGTCTTGCTAGTCCAATGTTGTGAGAGCGTCTCGCCAGCCCCATGTCTGATGGAGTGCCATGTGAGAGCGTCTTGCTAGTCCCATGTCTGACGTTGTCCAATGTTGTGAGAGCGTCTCGCCAGCCCCATATCTGACGGTGTCCCATGTTGTGAGAGCGTCTCGCCAGCCCCATGTCTTGCGACACAGTTGTGATAGCGTCTCGCCAGCCCCATGTCTTGCGTCACAGTTGTGATAGCGTCTCGCCAGCCCAATGTCTTGCGTCACAGTTGTGATAGAGTCTCTGAGGTGAGAATCAATGCCGAGTATTACGGATGACATTTGAGTGTGCACCTGCTGTT